GGTCCTCATTTCACCCACCTCGGAAGGATGGAAGGCTGAGTCGACCTTGAGCCGGTGAGATTAGAACCGCTGAACTGCAGATCACAGTCAGCTGATTAAGTGGCCTGCAGTACTGCACCCTAACCACTGCGCCACCTCGGCTCTATTTTGATGTTGATTGCAAACATTGTCAGATATCTGTGCAATAAACATTCTAGAGAAATAATTATTAATGCCTGTCTAAATATTTGTATTCTGGAAGGAACTCGTGGAATATTACAAACACCAGTCTCTCAAAGAGGGCTTCCGAAGTTTGGATACGACTCTTCAGTACCCCTACAAGGAATTTGAAAATACACAGGATCAGAGGAGCCACAGAGCAAGTAGCAATTGTAAGCATTTCCATTTGTTGTTGTTTTCATTATGCAGAAATGAAATTCAGTCGAAAGCATCTTCCATTTTGCATTTTTGACATATAACCTATTAATATGATAATGCATTTAGCCAGACTTTTCTGCAGCTAAGCAGAATCAGCATCTGCTGACAGGTTTATGAACAGGTCCAGTTAGACTTCCTGACTGCCTTCTCCTTAAATCAAATTGCTGCTCAAACATCTATTAAAAATGTAAGTGAGCAATTGATTTGTAAACAGGCATTTTGCATTGGCTAAGCTGCTTTTGGCTACATGAATTAATAAACATGTAATTCAAATTTGGCATTTGACATTTAAATGAATTATTCTTGTTGTTTAAAACTACCATCTTACAATGCCGAGTTTTTCTAAAGAAGCTGAAGGTCAGAATGATTTCTTCTACAATTCTGCTTGCTGGTGTCCCTAAATAAGACTTACTTTAGAGTAATCAAATTGGGGTTGGACAGAGGCAAATATATTTCCATCTATATGTGTTTATGTTTTATTACAAAAACAGTATGGGTTAGTCCTCGGCTTATGACCACAATTGAGTGCAAAATTTCTGTTGTTACATGAAACTTTTGTTGTTTTGCCCCATTTTACGCCCTTTTTTTGCCACAGTTGTTAAGTGAATCACTGCATTTGATGTTACTACTATAGCCTTTTTTCTCATTGTACATCATGTATACAACGAAATTGGTTAACCAAATCTTACTTCTAATCATTTTTTCATCCCTTACATGCTAATAGCTTAATGAAAATGTATAAACCTGTGGCTAATATAGGCCTCCCCATTTATATTAAAAATTGATTCAAAGGGGAAAAAAATTAACCCTGGCAAATATGCAATACTAATCCGGTTGTTAAGTGAATCTGGATATCCCATTGACTTTGCTTGTCAGAAGGTCTAAAAAAAGTGGTCACATAACCCTGGGACGCTGCAACAGTCATAAATATGAACCAGTTGTCAAGCATCTGAATTTTGATCACATGATTGTGGGCAGGGGTGGGGTCCTGCCAGTTCTAACCTCTTCTATAGAAGAGGTTCCACAAACCTACAGTGAGGTTTAGAACCGGTTCCAGCTCCCTCCCCCCGCCCGTCCGCACATCATCAAGATGAAGAGCGAGAGGAGGAATTCTGGGAGTTGAAGTCTTAAAGCTGTCAAGTTTGAACACCCCTGGGGGTTTTTTTCTAAAGGGTTAGGGGTGCAAGGGTCTTGTAACTTGACAGCTTTAAGACTTGCACACTTCAGTGCCAGAGTTCCTGAGCCAACATGACTGGAGGAGGAATTCTGGGAGTTGAAGTCACAAGTCTTAAAGCTGTCAACTTTGAACACTCCTGGGTTTTTTTTCTAAAGGGTTAGGGGTGCAAGGGTCTTGTAACTTGACAGCTTTAAGACTTACGTGCTTCAAATGCCAGAGTTTCTGAGCCAACATTTTGGTTGCTAAGCAAGAGCGTTGTTAACTGAGTTTCACCACATTTTACAAATCACAGTCACATGGCCAGCAAGCCACTCCCATCCAGTCACATGGTCAGTAAGCCACTCCCACAAAGCAGGCCACACCTACAGAAGAGGTTCTAAAAAAATTTGAAACCCACCACTGATTGTGGGGATGCTGCGAAGGTCGTAACTCTGAAAAATAGTCATAAGTCGCTTTCTTCAGTGCCGTTGTAACTTTGAATGGTCACTAAATGAACTGTTGTAAGTTGAGGACTACCTATAGTGTGGAGTTTAACAGAGGTGGTCTATGCTGTCCTTAATATTTGGTAAAACAACATGAATACTAGTACTGAGAACCGGTTTGAAGTTGCCGAGAGCATCTGGGCATCTGTTTATTAGCTTCACTTGATTCTGCAGCCACTGTGATTGCTGCCAAATTTCACAGTGCTGGAATTGGGTAGTTTAGATTTTATGAGCAGTAGAAATTTCTAAAAATAATGGCAGAAGATTAAAAATCATGTAGACAACACGCACGCCCTTTTAATACACTGCTAAATTACTGAGAAGCAGATGGATAATTTCAGAGCCTTTCTGAGTGCCCATTAAAGACAGGAAGATGTTTTGAAACGTTTAGGAAAGTTGAATCTGTGACATTTAAGTATTTTGAACGGGGCCTGTCCTCCAGATCCAGTTCTTTATGCAGCTAATAAATAGGGAAACGGTATGATTAATATCTATAGAATGATTATAAAACAGTCTTCATCCCGTATAAATCAACAGAAAAAAAATCCAAACCACCAGCCAATACCATTGGCAGGAAAGAGAATGTGTCCCATATTTGGGAGAGGATTGTGGAGGAATAAGGAAAATCAGAAAAATTCATCCATGGACCACTAACACTTGGCTGCAGAGTGAGGAGAGACACATATGCTCAACTACGTATCTTTAGAGTAATATTTTGTTGCAATCAACATGGATATAATTATGGAAGTTGTAATGCTTTCTTTCAGTTTGTCCTTTCTTTACAGTTTTATATATAAAAGAACAATAAGAGTAGTATTATTGCAAGAACAATAAGAGGACAGAGACTGGAGTGGTGTGAGAATTATAAACACAAAAGCCACAGCACAATTATTTGCGATTGTTTCACAAGAATTGACAAATCTGTGAGCTTGAACTAGCATCAAGCCATCTCAGGAATAGAAGATCATTTGTGAAGTGATCTCTTATCACTAATTTCCAGCTAATTATAATTTCCTAGCACTAATTTCCAGCTATAAGTTTTCATAATATGGAGAACAAATATGATAAGCTAATTAATAACTTGATTTGTATTCTTTTCCGGCATTTTCAGTGGCTTTCGAAAGACTTGCTCCCTAGCTCACAAGCTATTCTGTCTTTTCATTTTTAACAGTATTGTATTGTTAAAAATTCTTTTCAACACATTAAAAGAAAAAAAAAAACGTGTTACTGGCAGAAGAGAATAATCCCTTCTGGGTGTTTTGTTACATTCTATGATTGAGAAAGCTTAATTGTATGATAAAAAGACAAAAAACATTGTTTGTGAGCCATAACTCTGCAGGGATGGCTTCTCTATTGAAAGCAGTGAATTGTTACTCGTTGAAGATGTGCGTTGAGTTTCTCTCTTCCTTACTTCCTGTTAATCTGGGGAAGAGATAGGCAATCTGCTTTCGGCTAAGCCAGAAGCGGCAGAAAGGTGTTGTAGTTGCTACCCCAATAGTAGTATAAGATTTGAATGTGGTAATTATTGGCTATGTGGGGAGCTGCTTAATTAGCTGAGGTATTAAGAAATCTCTTGCCTCCTTGATCAGTTTCAGTACTCTTCCCAATCAGATCAGGAATCACCGTATTTTTCAGAGTATAAGGCACACCATTCGCCCCCCCCAAAAAGAGAATGAAAATTTGGGTGCGTCTTACACATTGAATGTAGCCCTACCCACCCCCACAGAGGCCAAAAACGTGAGTCATGGAGGCAGCAATGATCTGTATTGTTTTGTTTGTTTATTGGATTTATATGCCGCCCTTCTTCCCAAAGGACTCAGGGTGGCGTACAGCATTAAAAAAAAAACACATATTACAAAAGTTTTTTAAAAATTAGATAGAATATCCCAAAAACAAACCCAATTAAGATTAACAATAACATTTTTTAAAAATCGATTAAAATTAACAATAATCAATGATTTATTTTGTTTTGCTCAGGCCAAGCTGGCTTGCTGGAAAAGCCAACTTTTTAGGGCGCGTCGGAAGGACCGGAGGTCGGGGATTATACGAAGCTCCGGGGGCAGCTCATTCCAGAGGGAAGAAGCTCCCACAGAGAAGGCTCTCCCCCTGGGGGTCGCTTCCTGGCACTGTCTGGCCGACGGCACCCTGAGGAGGCCGACTCTGTGGGATCGCACTGGATGGTGGGAGGCTAGCAATTCCTGTAGCTTGGAACAGCTGATTGGGGGTATTCCAGCAGTCGGATCCACCCGCCAATCAGCTGTGCTGAATCAGGGTGCAGTAAGTGCTGAAGCTGACTTGGCTGGTCAGAATTTGCAGTGGCAATTACATCCCGAAAGCACAC